CACCCACTTGTTCAAAAATTTTGTGACAATACATTATTTCTGGTATTGCAGTTTTTATTTTTCCCTTCTTTCATTGCTGTAGACAGCCTTCCCTCACTTCACTTATTCCTTTTGGCTTCAACTTCTTATTCTCATTATAGAATATTCATAACAAAAATTTGTGGCAATTCATTTGCTTTCTAGTATCACCATTTCTGTTTTCTTTCTTTTTTGTGATGGTAAAACATTTGTGATGATGTAAAGTTAATTTTTTTTTCGTATATTTATAGAATAGATAATTATTTGTTGTTTATTTAATTATACTAAAGCAATCAATATTTTCTGATTTTGATGCTGTTAGAATCATTGACTGTTATGAAATAATAGAAATTAGAATTAGTCATTTGAGTAACAATAGGGGTAACTAATTTTAAGTTTTTTTTTTTGTTGTTGTTGTTGCTGCTGCTGCTACAAAACATAGCTTTTATTTTAATTTAACAATATAAGTAGATTTTGTAATTAGGATACAGAAATATTATTATTTTGATTAATAAAATTATTTGATTTGGTATTTTATTATATATTAACTTAAATATATCAACATCTTTATCGTTTTTATTATTAATCTATGTTAAAGTTATTTTTTTCAAACACATGCAAATTTAAAGAAAAAGTCAACAAAGGTCAGTCCACAGAAACATGACACGTAAAAAGTCACTCCAGTACAATAAGTTTTAATAAAGAAACATTCTACATATTTCATTTATTCAAGGGACAAAAATAGCAAAAGGGTTTCTGCTTTATCTCTAGATTCCATACTAGTTCTCAGATGGTCCTATATGAGTCAAAATCTTTATTGGAATTAACCAGGGCAGAATTGAATACTTTTAAGAATAGAGTTTTCTAGAACAAGCAATGAATGTAATTAATTTATGAAAAAAGCAAGAACAAGGTAACACATGCTGCCAATTTGTCTTGTACAGAGTAGTTAGTAACTAACTAATATTGAATAAAATTGAAACAAGTTGATAAACTTATTGATGATTATAGAAATTGAAATAATTGATTAATTAGAGTATTAAAATTCTTTGAGAAGTCAGATTACAGAATAACATTGTGTCTATTCTTTGTAATAATGTAATGTAATTGGGATGTTTGACAATAGATAAAGATGCTAGTTTTTGTTACTTGGATTGTTTGCTACAATAAGAGCTTGTAAGAATTACATCCAAGAAGTATTTGGATACCTAGAACAAGTTTGTGTTAACCAGTAAGCCAAATGCATCTTGACCTAAAATATCCATTTCCACCACACAAGAGGTTACTTCAGAAGTCTGATCTCTTTAAAAGAAGACAGCAGACTTCTGGAAAAAAGATGAGGAACTTCACCAGTTCTCTCTCTCTCTCCCTCTTATTTATTGGTACATAGTGCCACCTGGTTTCTCATAGCATTACCAGGTCTTCATCAGCTTCTAAAAAGTGGAATCCAGAGAGCTGCTTATTCACAAATGAGATTCAGAGATCTACAAAAGTGGCAAGAGACTAAAAGAGAAAAGGTTTAGTTAGAGAAAAGTGCAGAGATATTTATGAAAGTGACTAAAACTGGTCATAACTATGATCAAAAAGTGAACACGATGCCTGTCAAAAGATAGGAAATCTCGTTTAGCCTGAGAGCAGGTTAGGGAAAAAATTTACTCCACTTTAAACCAGGTGTTAACCTTTACATAATAAGATATATTTGGTCTCATCTAATACCATGTCAAGGTGTAAAATTCTTAACAAACTCCTAGGTCAAGTAAAATCTCAAGGTATGAGGAAGAAAATTTGTATCCTTTTTATTGCAGAAGAGATTGAGAGAAATTCCTTAAAGCTCTCCTACAAATGAAGGGAACAATAATAGTTTTGTCAGGTCTGATGCTTAAGCTGTTATGACTGCACCAGCTCTAAACACAAATTAGGCCTTCTTTGAAGGAGGTGTGACAGAATACTAGGGAATTTCCCATACAAAACAGAACAATATCATTTGCATAAATCTCAGTTAAAGAGGTGAAGACCTCAAACAGCTCAACTCCCCGTTTTATCAAAGAACTAAATGATGGGTAAACTTCTCTTGATTAATACAACTAATAGTGTAGGACTCAAGAATGTGCTGTTGCACAACATCAATAGTCAACTCAATGTCTAACGAGAGTCCAAATCAGCAAGAGAAGCAATCTGATTTGAAAGACACACACTCTGAAAAGTGCTCCATCAGTCCTTTTTTGGGTTATAAAATTGTACCCTTTTTGGACTAGAAGCCAGGTTAAGGGTGAAAGTAGTGTCTGTGATCAGATAAAAAAGGTTCATCAAACACACATCAATCCACTGATGCCTAAATCAAAGGAAACTAGAGTTATGTCCATATTTCCATATGGTTGGAAGAAATATAAGTGGGTTTGCTGCATTGATTTAAGATTATCAATTTTGTATCCACCAAAAAGTCCAGATGATGATCTCTTCTGGGATTGCTATCCTTACATCTCAAAGACACTTATGTCACTTGCATTGCAACCAATTAGGAGAGGAAGGTGATAAGTAGTAAAAAAAACTCTACCACAGATATTATCTTATCAGAACGTGGAGGTTCAGTAGAATCATATGAAAGATAGGCTGAGGAAGAGAAAATCTTAAACCCATTAACATTAGCCATTATATATACAACTAGGTTTTTGTCCAGAAATCTGAGTTAGAAAATACTTGAATAAAAATGATTTTTATCAGATGAATGGTAAAAGAGTTGGATCTAAGTTGGACGAGCTTCTAACCTGATCCTTGAAGACCTGGGGCCCTTGTATCAAGGATATGTCAATGCTATCTATCATTACATGGTGGTTTCTGCAGTGCTAGAGATTGATTTGGATAAATCTTAACATAATGATTTACCTGTAACCACATGTTATGATGGACACTCTAAGAGTCAATAACAGCAGGTCTGTTAGTCCCTAAAGCCACTGACAATGAGCAGCAGCAGTGGGCTTGCTACTAAGCCTTGAAATTGCCAACCTTGATCTAACCAAGTAGCCCTACTACTAGACACAGAAGCAGCCAGCTGTCCTGTTGAAAGAATATCACACACATTTTTTGAGTAAATAAACCATATATGGGTTGTAATGTAGGAGAAATATATAGTCAATGTCTACAGAACCCCAATGCAGACACAAGGCTGAATACAATGGGGTGTTGCCTGGTGTCCCAAGTGAATTGTTTGCATTATCTGTTTAACTGTCTGAATACCTTCCTTGCCATGAGCCCTTGGTGCCTTCTAACTTGGCATTGGCAAGTGTTCCTCTTAGTTGGATGTGGTCTTGGCACTTATAAATAAACCCTACAAGACACCACAACACAGATCACAACAAGGTGGAAACATGATGGGGGAGGTACAAGTTTGTGGAAATGCCAAAACTTTTTAGAACAGAATAGTTCTCAATTTTTGCATTAAAATACTCTTATCTTTAGTTATAATTGCTTTGGATTAACCTAATAATAAATTTTTTTGTAATAGTGTATAAGAGTGATTTGACTATAAAAATGAAAGAAACTGTGTGACGTTTTATCTGTTGTAATTCAAAAATAAAGGAAAAAAATATTAAAACCTGTTCAAAATTGAGATCAGCTAAAATGGAAGAAGTAATTTAGTACTGTGCCGTTCCAATTTACACAGGTATTTTTACTATACAGTAATACCCCAAACTTACGTGATAGGTGGAACTGAGCAGTAATCGCGTAAGTCGGGGTATAATTTCGCATATAAATACATACAAATAATTTTTAATTGGTGCCGGAGACTAAAGAAAACAATAATTTAGAAAAAAATGTTTAATAAAATCTTAGATAATACATATGTATAACAAATTAGGCCTATATTATTTTACAATTTTTCACATTTACTTGATTATTATGCCATAATTTTAACATTGTTTCCATCTCAGCGATAATACTGTGACGTTTACGAATGATGCTTGAATTTAAAGATTGAGCATTTTTCACAGCTTTGAGAATTTTTTCTTTGCCTTTTATAATTGTTCTGACCGACAATTCCGGTAGATCAAACTTCTTTGCCAATTCACAAATTTTCATTTTTGTATCGAAGTCTTTAATAATGGATACGTGCGTAAAGTCAAATGAGTTAAACGCGTTAGTAACGAATCGTTCGAAAAGTCTAACGAAATAGGAATAACGATGACTTTATTCTCGCTTAACTCGTTCGACTTTACGAACGTACCCAATGTTAACTTTACATTCCAAAGATAAAGTTTTTCTTTTCTTGTTTGATGCAGAAGAATTAGTTCTACTTTGTTTGGATGACATAGTAGCGTCTCTCGAGTCTCCATAGATATAACAAACACAGAAATAAATAACATAAAATAAATTGTAGCTATGTGTGGATTCCGTGCGACACATCCGAACATGTAAGCTGAACAATAGTGTGGGGGGAGTGAGTAATCAAGGGTTGCGTGGCGCTCAAACAAAAGACAAATTGACGAGATTTGAAAATCGCGTAACTCCGGGTTCGCGTAAGTCGGGGTATTACTGTACTGTATTTTACTGTATAAATTTTACTGTATTAATTAAGATTATTTCTCATTGCAAATTGGAATTAATAAATTGCACTACACAATGACAAAAGGTATTTTATTGATCTCAATTTACACACATTGGCAATTATTATTACTCTGAGAAATAATTATCATTAGTGTGTTAATTGATTTTTTAGTTGATTATATATTGAATAATTATTATATCTGGATATACCTTAAAAAGTAACCTTACAAATAGTAAATTTGTGTTTTTATTTCTTCAAAAAGTTGAACTGAAACAAATTAAGAAATTAGTTGATATTTTTAAAATTATTTTGAAAAAATTGAGATTTAAATGTTAAACTACAATGGTATAAATGGTACAATTTATCTTTAAATAGTAAAGTTTAAAATATTTCATCGTAAGTATGCAAAAATTGAGTTTTAATTATTTGGTATTTTAGGTTTATTCTCGAGCAAATGAACAAGAAGCATGTGGTTGGTGGAAAGCCTTAGTAAAAATGACAAAAGGAGATTTTCATGTAGTAGAATACATTGGTTGGGAAACAACATATACGGAAATTGTTCCTAGTGATCGATTAAGATTCAAAAACTCAAAGTAAGCATTATTTTCTTTAAATACAATTTAAAATATTACATATATATATATATATATATTTTTTGATCTTGTGCATTAAATTTTGTTAATTTGTTTTGATAATGATGAAATAAAACAAATTTTCTCTAAAGTTACCTAAATAAAGAAACATTATATTTAAATAGCCTATAATTAGCATTGTATAATATCAGTTTACTATTTTGAGAGAATGCTTGTAATACTAATACTAATAACATTTTTATACAGTAGTTTCTATAGTCTATCACTTACCATTCTGACACATCCAGTAATCTAACACACTGTCTTGCAGTGTGTGCACAATTTTTGTATCATTACTTGACGATGCATGCTACAAAGAGAGTGACATGTGTATAGTGCCAGTCGCTAATTGTTTGTTGCACCTGCAGTCAGCAAAACAGTCAATCATGATTAATATGATAAACTAACCTGTGAATCAAGCGTGTTTTTTACTATCCATTATGTACAGTACAATACATACGAAATCCAGTAATCCAACAGTCTGCTGTAATCCAACATCTGCCAGTCAGATACATGTCAGATTATAGAGACTCTACTGTACTTTTATATATTTGATTGCATACATGTATTTATTATAAATCTCAATATGACTCTTCATCAAAAATAATTCTATAAATAAAAACAGTATTGCCATTGTTAAATTATTGAAATATAGAAACTTGCCATAATTTGAAGAAATTAATCATAATTGAATATTTAAAATTTGTGTTTTGCAGCTGGAAATATAAAATATCCAGAAATATTAAATACTTTAAAGATTTTAGTTTTTATTTTTATTTTTATAAGATCCTAACAATTAAAAAATAATGTAAGTTGGGTAAAATATTTTTGCTAATTTAAAACATTTATTAAATATATATCTGTTTTTGAATGTGTTGATGTTTTATTAAATACTTTTATAATAATGTAAAACTTTAATCATAAACCTAAGAATTCAGTAGTATATATAATGTTCTTTAACCTCTTGATATTTAGAATGATACAAGGTCTGTTCAAAAAGTATCGGACCTTATTTTTTTCCGCGTAAACCAATGATGCGAGAGAGGCCTCCTTCGGTGGAGTTGTGGAGGGGACAGTCATGCACAGCCCTGAATTTTTTCCCGCCTGCAGGAAGCGTCAGTCGTTGGCAATCGGCGTATGAGTGAGGTCATGTAGTGCGCTCTCGTCGGATTTCACTAAGCTGGAAAATGACTGAACAACGTGAGCAGCGATATTACATCAAATTTTGCCAAAAACCTTGGCGATACCCGAGTGTAAACCATTCGCAAGATTCAGCAGGCTTTCGGGGACGATCCTCGAGGCCAAAAAAAGCGCGGCAGGTCCGCAGCAATATCAAAGGTCATGTTGACAGTTTTTTCGACTCTCGTGGGGTGGTGTGTCGTGAGTACGCACCACAAGGCCAAACCATCGCAAAGGAGTACTACCAGGAGGTCCTTCGTCGTCTTTCCGATACAGTGCGACGCAAACGACCGGATCTGTGGTCGATCAAAACTTGGCAGCTCCATCGTGATAACGCATCCGCCCATTCTGCGCATCTGATTCGGGCTTTCGTCGCCAAACACAATACTCCTGTGGTTCGTCACGCTCCGTACTCTCTCCACATGGCTCCGTGTGACCTTTGGCTATTTCTCAAGCTGAAAATGCCGCTAAAAGGAACCCAAATTTAGTCGAGAGAAGACATCATGCGAAATGCGACGGACCGGCTGATAACCATTCCAAAAGATGCGTTCCAGCAGTGTTTCCAGCAATGGCAGGAACGCTGGGAGAAGTGTATACATTACCAAGGAGACTGCTTTGAAGGGGATTAGGGTTTTGTACCTCAAAGTCAATAAATTTATTTTTGCCGACCAAAGGTCCGATACTTTTTGAACAGACCTTGTATATACACACACATAGGCTAGAAGAAAATAGTGGCAACATATTTGTTATATTCATTTATAACAAATTATATATTGAAGAAATGGAATAACATTACATTTCTTTAATATAATCCCCTGCCATATTTATCACCTTCTGTCACACACATGGAAGGCACTACACACCAGTGGCACCACTATGTTTATGTCCTTGAATGAGTAACCTATTTCTCAAAGAATGGTATCTCCTGTATGGAAATTAATGCTTTAGTGTGGGGAAGAGATTTAAGTCTTGGGGTCCATATTGGGAATATGTTCAAGTACCTCCCATCTCCATTGTTTTAACAACTCCCTCACAGGAGCAGCAATGTGATGGTGAGTATTGTCATGCAAGAAAATGGAAGCATGTATGTGGAAATGCTGTTTCCTCCATACTGTAGGACAAAGATGATGATCCAGGTACAGTACTTACAGTAGTATGCGGCATTTGCAGTCTGGCCCCAAGGAATTGCATGATAGATTCTCTTCATCATATGCCACTATTAACATTACTTTTACTTTTTGAGGTTTCTGGTGCAGTTTTTTTAAGTCAGGGATGATGGGTGATGTCATTCATTGGACTGGCATTTCAGTTCTAGCTTATAAGATTGTATTGCATGAAATATGGATGCAATGATCATACTTCAAAAACATCATTTTACAAGGGGACCTTACGGTCTCGGAAATTCAGTTCGGGATGAGACTTGGCAGGTTCATAGTATACCTCAAGGGTGTCCACCCAGAAGAATTGTAAAGCGCACTAGCCAGAAGATTCCGAGAAAAAAGGCTCTAAAATTTTAAGCGCAGCTTATATACCGATCGATTCTACCTTATGGTAGTACAGCGAAGTGGCTCAGTCCGTAGCGTACTCGCCTGCAATGCGGTGCGACCTAGGTTCGATCCTACCTTCTGCAAACTTTTTTTTTTTTATT